AGCTTTCCTCAGAGATGGTCCCAATAATTTGCTTTAAGTCAAGTCAAATTCAGTTTATGCATGATTACATGATATAACTTTTTAAATACTGTATCCTAAATTGTGGATGATTAAGCTATATATCATATGCTGAAGTACGTTAAAAGAAAAAATAACAAGAACCGTACAGAACCGAAAACCGTGACCCTAAAACCGTGATACGAACCGAACCGTGGGTTTTGTGAACCGTGCCACCCCTAGTTGGTAAGGAAGGCAGATGGCAGCCTACGGCTGTGTGTGGATTATAGGCGGTTAAATCAGAAGACCAAAAAGGATGCCTTCCCCTTGCCGCAAATTGATGAAAGTTTTGATACCCTTCGGGGGGCACAGTACTTCTCTACCATTGATCTGGCGAGCGGTTATCATCAGGTGGCGGTACAGGAGCGCGATAGGCATAAGACTGCTTTCTCTACTCCTTTTGAATTATATGAGTATCTCAGATTACCATTTGGTGTCTGCAATGGGCCTGCGACATTTCAAAGGCTCATGCAGGCCACCATGAATGATCTTGTCTTCCAAATCATGCTAGTATACCTTGACGATATATTAGTGTATTCTCAGACATTCCCGTAATACTTAGAGAGGCTTGACAGGGTGCTAAGGCATCTCAAAGAGACAGGCCTTAAAGTGAAGTTACAGAAGTGTCATTTCCTCCAGACCGAGGTAAAGTTCTTGGGACACCAAGTGTCTGCTGATGGTATAGGTACTGATCCAGGCAAGGTTTCAGCTGTGAAGCAATGGCCAGTACCATCTACGGTTAGGGGTTTGAGATCATTCTTGGGCTTTTGTAGCTACTACAGACGGTTTATCCATGGGTTCTCAAAGATTGCTGGCCCACTGCACGAGGTGGTGAATTTGTGTTCAAATGCAGGTAGTCCTGGCAAAGCCAACCAGTTGTTAACTCAGGCATGGACCGAAGAATGTCAGGCAGCCTTTGATTCACTGAAGGACAGGCTGACTAGTGCCCCCATCCTTGGCTTTGCTAATTTTACTCAGCCTTTTATACTAGAAACTGATGCGAGTAACCATGGCCTTGGAGCCGTTTTGTATCAGCAACAGGGGAGTGTCAAACGAGTCATAGCCTATGCCAGTAGGCGAATGAGGAATGTTGAAAAAAATGATAGGAACTACAGTAGTATGAAACTAGAGCTCTTAGCCCTTAAATGGGCAATAGCCGAAAAGATTCGTGGCTACTTACTGGGTTCCAAATTTACGGTCATTACTGACAACAACCCTCTATGCTATTTAAAAACAGCAAAGCTTGGTGCTATAGAGAAGAGGTGGAGTGCTCAGTTGTCGGTGTTTGATTTTGATGTACAATATAGGCCAGGGCGGAATAACATAGTGGCCGACACATTGTCTAGGCAACCGTTCGCAGGGGAGCTGGAGCTGCTGAGTTTGACGGTTGTGTAGCGATTTGCAGCCTGATGAATCGTGGCACAACTCTTGATTCAGAGCTGATTACGGCAGCCCTTAAGAGCTGCAAGGTTAGACAGATTTGAATTGCAGAAACTCTTTGCAGAGTCTCTTGAATTGGCTCAGGGCAACACACCAACACTCCCAGGTTATTCAATTGAAGAACTGCAGTCTTTCCAGCAACAGGATCCTGTGCTGCGGATATTTAGGGGCCTCTGGGATCGGAATTGTCAGGGTCAGCCCCTGCTGTGGTCCTACCGTGTCCCTTCCCTGTTTGACCAGCAGGTGTTGCTGGTCATTCCGTCCTTCATGTTAGTCTTTGTTCTAGTGTTAATTTCGTCAGACGAGACGAGACGAAATATGTTCGTCAACGACCTTTTTTTTCATGACTAAG